TATAAAACAAGTTTACTTTCAAATAATTTACATTTAATCCAAAGAATTTGTGCTGTGACGTTAAAACCAAGGAGAGATACTTTTCATACTTTTTGTGTGGAGGGCAAGCATGGGCTAGTACTTGACTCCATGGCAACATTCAAAGAAAAAGAGGGCTCATAATAATTTCCTTCATGGCATCTCACGAAACTTGCAGGGTGAACTCTGTTGGCTTTTTCCAAGAAAAAAACATGTGTCAACTTCTTCTCTATGGGACAACGTTGTGTTGGGACCATTTAATCATTTCTAGGATGGATAAAGATGGCAGCAATTGCATTGCATCAATGTGTGGATGCACACCCTTTAAGCTTTTTACAAAGTTAAGACCACATTGGAACCCCAAGCTGATAAACTTGCAGAAAAGAAAGAAAAAGACAACTGAAAACAAGAAAAAAAATGGAAAGAAAATCTAATATCACATTGGATTCTCGCTTCCCTCATGCCCCATTCTTAAGATCCAACACTTTTTTTCTTTTTAATGCAATTATCGAATAAAAAAAGCCAACATGTAAAAGTTACTTGGGCCACAAACAGGGTAGTACTCATTGTCTCCATATTTGGTAGCTTTAGTTGGGGAGGTTGACCCTCCAACCAAAAAGTAGGTTCACAATGTCTATGAAAATCACTTTCGCCATTCCTTTCTGAAACCCATTTTATTGGTTAGAAATGTGTCCATAGGTAATGATTTTCTATATATAGTTCATTAAGTTAATTACTTGAATTAGTGAAACAAGATCTCACTTGCTTTTGCCCCTTGCCTTAATACTTTTCTTCTTTGGACCCCAGATGCATGATGAAACCATACTCAAGAGTTGCTTAAGACGTTTAATCTGCGACCCAGATAATCAAGGGGGTAGGTCTGGAGGGTAATTACGTGGGTTTAACGGGTTACCAGAAAGTAACTCTTGCCCATCTAACTGAAAAACTATACCCACAGACCTAAGGAAAGAATTATAAAAATTCTCTGTTTTCCCTTGCTTTCTTGTTGTCCAGCATCTGATTTCTTGGCATGCATATAATTGAAGCCAAGAATATACCTGCTTCTTTTGGGTGGTTTGGTATGATGATAATATAATCCATGTAATTGATATCATGGCCGGATGGCCCCTTTGCATACCCCATATAGGATTCCTGAGGCTTTTATTCCTTGCTTCATTGTGAAGTTAAAAACCTGTGGCATACCAGAAGGGCCAGAATTAGAGAGTGGTTTTCTTTCAGATGGAATGAGGAAAGAATGCACTTACTTTAAATGTATATTTTTTCACATTTCATTTCACAGCCCCGACTGTAAAAGACTTTTCTATTATAGAAAGAGAAGGGATTATCCAAGCCATATATTTCCCTTTGAAAAGATAAATAGATCATAAGGTTGAACGCTCTGCTGTATCCTAAGTGAGTAGTGAAAGTAAAATCCATGAGCAATATTTATCGTTTCCGGCCAGAGACTGTTTTCTTCACAACTCCAACCGAGACTAGGAATTCATCCAGGGATGATAAGGTCCTCATGTCATCAGGTGGGAAGTAGCTGGCTGCCTTTCCCATGAGTGATGTGAAGAGAAGAGAGAGTGAAGGCCGGGTAACATAACGCTCACCCAAGTGGTCATCAAGAAATGCAAATGCAGCTAAAAATTCTGATCTTCCCGCGTTGATTGGAGCTGCAAAATGAGCTGGGATTATCCTCCTGAATTTCCAGTCTCTTGCAATGTCACCAATCCAATCCCGAACCTGTTATTTTGAGAAGAACAGAAGATGCACGGTTAGACTTTCATCCAAATCAGACAGTTTCTTGTAACTGTGTACACAGCAAATCTCCATTACACATGCCTCTTTGAATCAGTCTTGCAGTTACTGCCAGAATTAAATGACATCAAGCAGACAAAGGCATTCAGTTGTTTTCAGATTCAATCAATCAATGAACCACTTTATTGAGCTGCCACAAAAGTAAAAGAGCCACATAAGAAAAGTTACGACCAAATATTTTTCACCTTCTCAGGAACTTTGCTGAAGACCAATGTTTTTACAATAGGAGAAACAATCAGCTTTTGGGACATCTGAGCAAAACTAGCATTAGGTTCCAACAGATTTGATGGACCAAGGAACAGTATCTGTAGAACCATTCTCTCCCACCCTGCACCGAGAATTACTTGTACAGCACCAGTTCTTAATTCTTTCAAACAAAAAATTATCAGCCCTGGAATGGAATTGATTGGAGAACTAACCTTTTTGACGGTTCATGTTGTTGTCAACAACTGGTTCGTCTGGGACTTCTTTTCCTTTACTAAGGATTTTCACTGCCAACCCATTTTTTGCTGATGCCAAAAGGGACTCTTTGCTAATACATTCTGGTGGTTTTCTTGGGACAAAAATCACAGCATCTGTAACCAGAAGGGTTCTTGAACGCTTGTGATAGAAAGCAACCTCAACATATGGTCCAATTCCTGAAACATTCAAGGAAAATGGAGTTCTCAACATGCTGTACATCATATTGAAGTTAGATGTAGTTCAAGAGCAATTTATTTACCAACTTCTGGCGAGCTTAAAACTTTTTGTTCAATCTCATCAGCCCATGGGGTTAATAAGTCTCCATCTTTCAAGGTTTTAGAACGAAAAATTCCAAAAAACTCAAGCGGCAAATTCAAGGGCCAACTCCACTGCCTTGGTGCCACCCACACCTGAGCCTGAGGAAACTTCCTAGAAAATGGACCAACAAAAATTTTATGCTCATAAGCAAATGTGGGCAGGACAATGTATTCTACTGGGGCCCCCAGTTCCTTCAAAAGCTGGAAAGAAACATGTAGATCACTCGTAAATAAGGCATCCCAAATTCATTAAAGTGTAGAATATGCAGGATTTGCAGGAGAACTTGAGAAAAAAATATACAAACCCAAGAAAGAGTAGACAGGGAAGAGAATGGTACTATAAAACGAAAGGGAAAATAGGGACTAGGGAGAACAGACTCCTTTTTGATTGATGATTCTCATGAGCCACTTGAATTGACAGACAGTTGATGGATACTTGATCTACATTTTAAAATTTCTTTCAAGCTCTTGGACTGAATAGTTACAGTATTGATTCTTTTTCCTACTCTTTTCAATATATGCATGGAAAAAACACTTTGGTCTTCCTTCAAAACTTGACTAGCTGTATTCAATCAGAGAAACTCAAAAACAAATGCTCTTAACAACCATGAAAAAGCAAGCATGGAACCATAAAACGAAAAATAAGAGCTGTGTTGAAACCTTCAGATAGCTCTTTTAATAAATCTAAGAAAATACAACATTGAAGTCATTTAAGAGATTAAAAAAAGCTATGTTGGTAAATTATATTTAAATATTTTGAGTGAGAGAACAAAACTGAACCTGGATGCACTCTTTTGTAGGAGCAATGGGAGCATGGACCCATAATCCTCCCGATTTTAGTTTGATAACTGTCATCCGAATGTTTGTTGAGACACTGCTGAAGCCTAATGCCTGCTCTTGTTCAAACAGCCATATGCAGCCTTTCACAGCCTAGACAGGAAAGTATAGGAGTGAGGGGCAAACCATAATCAAAGCTTCAATTTAAAGGTGAAATATGTTATGTCTGCAAACAAGTTTGTGCCCATATACATGCATGGAACACACTTAAAACAGGGCAGCAATGTGATAGTCCACTCCGGAGTTACAACTAGGTTTGATCATTGATACCATTTGAAAATCCTTCTATGATTTGCTGATTATGATGCAGGCACGCACTATTGTTCAGAACTTGCTTATGATGTGACCAACAATTTGTACACAAGGGGAATTACAGAAAGTTCTTTGGAAATGAAAAAAAAAAAATTCAATAAATTAAGAAACTGACCTCAGTCCTAGTGGTGCGCCTGTTGAGGAAAGGGCCAAGAGGGAAAGGAAAGCCAGTGAAGTTGAGGTAAAACCTGCCGCCACCGCGGCCACTGGTGGCCACGGTGGCACCAGCCGAAGCAATTACCAAGCTCGCAATGTCTCTCTTTTTGCTCCGAGGTTTCAGATGCAAAGAAAGACCCTTTACCCTCAGGGGCTCACCAAGAAAACTTGAACTTATTTCTCTGAAAGTCTTTGGGCTCTGCAGAACCATGGATTTTGAAGAAGAAACAGCCATGGCCGCCGCCATTTTAGAACCTTTGCTTGGTTCGTTCTATAAACTTCACATTGTTTGCAAACCAGAAGGCTTTTGAGAGATTAAGGCCAGAAAACAGCCGAGACCCAACTCAAGGTTGTATTTTTGACACGTGTAGGAATTTCATAGATTCTGGATAGTGGATTGTCCTACATGGATTTTCTGAGGATTTATTGTGGATGATGGAATAAATACATAAATACAAATAAATAACCCGGAAAAGCACACAACTTTCAAGAACCATCGAGCTTTCATTCAGATTCCTTGAGAACAGATCAAGATAAGCAAGCAGAAAAAAAAATTATATATCCACAATCAGAATCTCATATTGAAATCCCTTGATTTGGGTGACAGTAAATTTTTTTTTTTTTTTTTTTAACATTGAGAAATTAAAAGAATGGGATAACACTACCAGAAATTGATCTATAATCAAGATACATCTTATAAATGCAGTTATAGTTATGTGTGGGTGATAGTAAAAAGTTTAAATCTCTATATGATCAAATAGTTAATCCTTTAATGTAAAATAATAATAATAATAATAATAATAATAATGTCATATTGAAATCAAATCACTCATACATATGTATAACAACATCAGTTTCCGGTTTCCATACAGAGTTCAAACATGCAATTCAAATGTTTCAAAGTCTTTGCATAACTACTTCAACTGTATTCTAACAGCTCAAAATATACCTGTGCCACTGCTACATTTCAGAGCACCTAGTATTCTGTCCAGAAATCAACTAGCTGTTAAACCAGCAGGGAACAAGGGCATAGGCTGCCATGTTTAACTAAATAACAGATGGTTCTAAGCATGGAAAATTTAGGGAGAAGATAAGGTGGAGGAGACTTTAGAAGAAAACAATTGTGGCAGCCTAGATTACAGGGAAGTCGTCGAATTATACGGTGGACAAAGGTGCACACCTATGATTACAGTGCTTGGAGATCGCGACAAGTACATCCTCTTAGGTGAAGATCTCTCTCACAAGCCAATCCAAACTAGGATAAGCAAAGTACAGAATGAGAAAAGAAGGGAGAGCAAAGAGAACAGTGACGAGTATGTACAGGGCCAAGATGGCTGCACTGGCAGGTATTGCATACAGGACAATTAGAAGAAATATGATGACCAGGGGGAACTTGGCAGTGAGGTGAAGAAAGAACACGAGGGACTTCCGAAGGGAAGAATGCATTCTCTCCAAACTGAGGTAATTATCAATGTGGCTGCGGTTGTGGCTTGATCCTGATAGCTCGGAACGATGAAGAATCTGTCCCCGCCTGTGGTCACCACGAGTCACTTGGTTTCCTGGGGTTGAATTGTTGTTTGATGATGACCACATTGGCTGCCGATCTTCACAGCAGGCAGAATGAGACTTCAGTCTATCACCATTCATGCTCTCAACCATCCAAAGCAGAAAATAATTCTTTCGAGGGAACTTCAGGTTTCCCCTGTAAACCAGACGAAACGACAAGTGATTGCACCATGGACAGGTGATGAAGAGTGGAAGTTGTATCGGTAGGGTTGGGAATTTCACAACAGCCCATTGAAGTCCTAGAATGCAGTTCTTACAAAGGGTATGACCACACCATAAAACATAGGGCACATTTTCTACGATGTTGAAGGATTCCCAGCATATCGGGCACTCCAAACCTTCTTCCCTGCTAAGAACAGAAGAGACCTCGTCATCTGAACCTTCTGAGGCAACATGGTTTACCTTTAGAGAATCATTTTTCAATCCAACAGTTCCAGCTATGCAGTTGGATGCAAAACTCCACATTTTGATAGGAGGGAGGCAACTGATGAATGACTATACAAAGAACATCACTTTTTAAGGCTGTAGAAACTGAGAGTCAAAATTTGGTAACACCAGTCATCAACTCAAGCTGAAGTTGTCTGGTTAATTAAAAACATCAAAAGCATGCTTGGACCCAAAATCGACCTGAATGAAGGAATAGATACAAAGTACGATTAATGATCTCCTGTCTCTTTGAAAACAAAGCAATCATGGATTTAGTCAGCATTTCCAAATTTAAACTGCATGAGAATATAGCAGTATATCAAATTATCTTCCATTCTAAATTAACCTGCTATTATCATGCATATCTCAGATTATCTTAAACCCTAAATAAAGATAAACAGACTTATTAATACATAATTACTCAATAAAGCAGAAGGCAATTCATATCTGGGGTGGATCAGAAGCACAGAGGAGAAAATTCATTAAAAAGGACCAAACAAGCTGAAATGGCATTATTTCTGTGAGCAATTTTATCTTGGCCAGAAAATCTATAGGGTGGCAGAGACCTAAAGCTTCCATGATAAGGATACTCCTCATATATTGAAACTCATCAACAGTGGATGAAGAAGAAACTCTTTTCTCATGAAAAAAGACATAAGCTATGCATGCATACAGTTCTTGTTGACAAAGCTACCAGTAACCTTTAACCATGATCAATTCAAAACATTCAAACCAACTTCAAAATGGGGAAGAAAAAGAAATGAAACCAAAAAACAAAGATCACGCAAAAATCTAATCTGTCTACCTTTGATTGCCACAAAAGAAGAATAATTATACTTGATTATCAAACCCCAATATCCTCCAGACCACTTGACCTACACAAAATGCACTCTTCCTCAAGTGTCCATACGATTTTACAAATAGAATGAACCATATTATTTATAAATTAACTCCAATTAAGCTAGATTAATATTTAGCTTCAAGTCACAATAAAAATGAGGGTAATCCAAAGGTTCAAACTTGAGCTCAATTAGATCAAACTACAGCTTATTTATGTAAGGAAAAAAATAAAACGAATTTCCCAACATATTTAACAAACCAGTGCTACTCAAAAGAAAAGAAAAAACAAATACTACCCTTAATGACACAAGGCAAGGAAAGTGCAAGCAGCATAAAATTAGCCAAATTTCCCACCAACTACACATCATATATGATCAAAATTAACTCAAACAAAATTATAAATCAAACCAAAAACAAATTCAGGAAAAATATATGCGATCTCAGAAACTAAAAGCATCCGCTATCGAAATCAATGATCCGAAAAATCGAAGAAAAAACAAAGAGAGATGAAATTACTACTTACAGATTGATCGCGGCAGCGACGAATTGAGAGGTTTTATTGATTCGATTGTTGAGATGAGAAGAGAGAAGAGAGTCAGAGTGACGATGAGCTCTCTCTCTTTCTTCTGAAAAATCTCTCTCCTTCGTGGAGCATCATTTGCAAGCCCCGTATTGATACGGTCGGGATGCACACTACAAGAGAAAGGATAAATAAATGAATGAGGATTCAAACGTATCCTGCCTTTTTAATTGAGGATTTCAACTGTATATTTTTCCAATTGAGGACTTGAATCTGTCTTGTGCTTGTATTATTTTATTTGTTGAACGGAAAACGTTATTCTACCGTTAATGGAGCCCATATAAGGCTGACATGAACTAAATTGAAACAACAATGAACGCCACATCTGAAAACTTTCAAAAGAAAGAGTTTTCTCTCTCTCTCTCTCTCTCTCTCTATATGAGTGTACATTAAACTTGATTGAAAAAAATAAATCTCAATTTATATTTAATAATTAAAATATCAATTTAAATTTTAAAAATTCATTTTATTAAATATTAATATTGAATATAATTAGTTTCTAATTTTAAATATCAATATTTAATAAGATAGATTTTTAAATTTTGAATTGATTTTTAATTAAATAAAATGACATAATTTAATATTAAAACTTTAATTTATTTTTAAAGTTAAAACTGATATACATTTTTTTCATACATATACATCTAAAGGTTTAATCAAATAAAAGAATTATTTTACAATTTAAATTGTACTGAATTATACAACTTAAATTATTAATTAAAAAGTAAGTTTTTAATATTGAAGTTATTATCCTCATGGATTTATTTAAAATAATAATAAATGAGACTAAAAATTGATATTAAAATATAAGACGAATCATTTAAAATACTAAATGATAAACTCTATATTATTTAATGTTTAATTTTTTTAATATTTTAAAATT